CAATGCGGCCGACGAGGCACCGCCCGCTGAAACAATCTGGCCCGATGCGACCGATGCGCCACCCGCTGAAACAACTGGGCCCGACGCGGCCAATGCACAACCTGCTGAAGCAACGCGGCCCGACGCGGCCAACGCGCCACCTGCTGAAACAACATCGCCCGACGCGGCCGGCGAGGCACCACCCGCTGAAACAATGCGCTCCGACGCGGCCGACGACGCACCACCTGCTGAAACCAGGGGCGCTCCTGAGAAGAGGGGTGGGAGGGGGCAGCGGCGGGCGCAGCAGCGATGAGCTCGGCCCTCAGCGAGTCCAGCTGTGACTGCGAAGTGTGCACGCGGTTCGCTCGCACCCACTCGCCGACTGCGTCGAAGGCCACAAGAGAAGGACCCCCTTGGCGGCACCTGCTGGCAATATCATCGACACAGCGCTTGGACTCCTTAGAGCCCGAACTGCAACATGCTAGAGACAACTTGTCGGACACATTTGGCATGACAGAGCAACTCGTCGCCCCTGCTGGAAACGCAATTTGACAGGCACCTCTTGAGGCGCCCTTTTGATCATCTGTCAAATGTCATGATCGATATAAACCAAGACGGCTGCGGATGGCACTGCCAAACACCAAGATGCGCACGTGCAGGATACGGGCGTACCAGAAACAACGAAGGTATTGAAACACCGATAACAGTGCTTGCAGGAAACGGGCCCAGGGACATGGCATACTTGGGCCTGAACATGAATACGGACGTTTGGTGAACATCCGAAACAAAAACACCATCTCTTCATTTCCACGATCCACCCCCGAATGAAAAAGCGAGAAGGCGAGGGGCGAGCGGGATTAAATTAAACGCCAAGAGGGTACGATGAGAGAGCATGAGGGCGCTGAACATGAAGGTTCGAATGATGAAAATGAGGAGGTGATGAAGAAGAGACGGATAGCGATGAGGAAAAAAGGAGGTTTGGTGAGGTTTGCTGTTAAAGAACATGCATCGCAAAACCATCACGGGACGTTCACCCTCAGGCCTGGGGAACGGTCCCTCTCCATTGTGGGTCGACCATGTTTGTGTACACCACGACGCCGTTGTACAACACAGCTGCTCGTGTACACCGCAACACCTGTCTAGAAAACAGTGCCTATGTATACCACAATTGTGACAATGACTGCGTACACGGCAAAAGCCGTGTGCACCACAGCGCCTGTGTACACTGCGGTGTTTGTGCGCACCACAGGAGCCGCGTGCACCACAGCGCATGGCGAACATTTGCGCCACAGCGTTTCCGTGCACTTCCAAGGTCCCGCTGGGGCCCAAATCTGGCAAATCTCCCGGGGCCTGGCCCGAACGTATCAAATTCACTGTGTAGGTTACTTGTCGGGGTGCGGTCCCCCCTTTTTTGGCCGACCATGTGTACACCATGCCGCCTGTCTAGCGTGCGCCACGACGCCTTTGCACACCAAAGCTGCTTGTGTACACCGCAACGCCTGTCTACACAACACTGTCTGTGTACACCACAATGCTTGCGTACACTACAACAGCCGTGTGCACCGCAACGCCTGCGTACACACCACACACACACCGCCTGTGTACACGACGACGCCTATGTGCACCACGTTTGCAACTTCGGTACCATACTCGTGCACCAAAGTGACTGTGTACACCATGGAACTGCGTACACTTCCATCCCCCCCGGCGGGACCGACCTCCAGAAAATCGCAGGGGATCCGGATCTATCACATCTAATATGCAATATGTAAGCTATGTGTGATGATTGATTTTCCTCGCGCAGGGAACGGCCCCGTCTTTTGAGCCTACAACGCCTGTGTACACCATAGCGAATGTGTGCACAGCAGCGGATGTGTACACCGCAGCGCCCGTGTACACCACAAGGTGTGGTACACCGCAATGACCGTGCACCACAGTGTTTCTGTACACCACCATGCCTGGGATGCCTGCGTGAATGATAACAAACGATGCAGGAACAGCTGTGCACACTACAAAACCTGTCGTCACCATATTGTCAGGTGCATCACGATGCCCGCGTGCACCGCGCGACCTGCGTGCACTTATGCTTGCGTACACCACGACGCATGTGTACACAACAGATCCTGCTGCAACAATAGCAAATGCGCGTACCAAATCGCCCTGCTGCCTGCGCACCACGCAATGCCTGTGTACGCGCTGTTCACGTGCACCTGCAGATGCCGATGGACGACGTCGGTCGTAATCGTCGTCGTCGTCGTCGTCGTCGTCGTCTGTCGTCGTCTGTCGTCGTCTGTCGTCTGTCGTCGTCTGTCGTCGTCTGTCGTCGTCTGTCGTCGTCGTCTCCCCGTGCCACTCCAAGCCCCCACGATTCGCCAACGTGCATCCAAACACCAGCATGCTGTGGCGAATATCACCGCACCGTTGAACACAGCGCTCCCTGCGAGTTCCCTGCGCCCCCCCCCAGACCTGCACAACCGGCTAGGTTAGGTTATCCTGGGGGGGGAAGAAGGAGCGAACCCGATAACCCGGCGGGGTATCGCCAGACCCTAAATTAGCCTGGCGAAGGACCCAACCATATGCAGCTGTGAGTACCGCAGTAGTGAACATCTTCTTCGGCGCGGCGCCGCCATGCCAACGCAGCCAGTGGGAGTTTCGGTGGAGCTCCCTCTGGGGCCACGAAGCGTGTAAGGGGTGTGCCGAAATGGGTGCGGCGCCGCCATGCGAACGCAGCCACTGGGGCCTTCGGTGGAGCTCCCTATGGGGCCACGAAACGTGTGAGGGGTGTGCCGAGATGGGTGCGGCGCCGCCATGCCCACGCAGCCACTGGGGCCTTCGGTGGAGTTCCCTATGGGGCCACGGAGCGTGTAAGGGGTGTGCCGAAATGGGTGCGGCGCCGCCATGCGAACGCAGCCACTGGGGCCTTCGGTGGAGCTCCCTATGGGGCCACGAAACGTGTGAGGGGTGTGCCGAAATGGGTGCGGCGCCGCCATGCCAACGCAGCCACTGGGGCCTTCGGTGGAGCTCCCTATGGGGCCACGAAACGTGTGAGGGGTGTGCCAGACTGGGGGGTGGAACCGCATGCGGGCGCAGCCACTGGGGCCTTCGGTGGAGCTCCCTATGGGGCCACGAAACGTGTGAGGGGTGTGCCAGAATGGGGGGTGGAACCGCATGCGGGCGCAGCCACTGGGGCCTTCGGTGGAGCTCCCTATGGGGCCACGAAACGTGTGAGGGGTGTGCCAGAATGGGGGGTGGAACCGCATGCGGGCGCAGCCACTGGGGCCTTCGGTGGAGCTCCCTATGGGGCCACGAAGCGTGTGAGGGGTGTGCCAGAATGGGGGGTGGAACCGCATGCGGGCGCAGCCACTGGGGCCTTCGGTGGAGCTCCCTATGGGGCCACGAAACGTGTGAGGGGTGTGCCAGAATGGGTGTGGGAGGGGGAGGAGGGGGGAGGAGGGAGGGAGGAAGGAGGCGGGAACGCGGGGCACCGTCTCTTCAAAACGAGGACCCAACACCACAGGATGGTTGGGAAAAAAAACAGTCTCTTGAAGATTCGGGGAATCGGGGGGTGGGAAAGTCGGGGAGCCGAAAGGTAGAGAGGTCGGGGAGTCGGGGAATCGGGGATTTGGGGAATCGGGGAATCGGGGGGTCGGGGAGTCGGGGGATCGAGGGATCGGGGGGTCGGGGAGTCGGGGAGTCGGCCATGTCGGAGAATCGCAGTCGGGGGGTCGGAAGGTCAGGGAGGCGAGGTGTCGAGGAGTTGGGGTGGGGTCGGGGAATCTGCCCATCGGGACGTCGAGGAGCCGGCCCATCGGGATGTCGGGGAGTCGACCAGTCCGGGGTATCGGGGAGTCGGCGAGTCGGGACGCCCAGCAGACTGCCCGGCGCGGCGCCTGGGCCCACCGCCGCGAGATGCCCAGCGCCGAGACACAGCGCCCGGCTGCCTGGCCGCCGCGGCCAGCGCGGGGGCGCCGGGCACCACCGCCGCGCCCCTCGCCACCCAGGAGGGCCACCCGCGGCGGGAGGCCCACGGGCGGCGGCCAGCCTCTGAGCGCGCGTCCGCTGCCGCGCCCGCGGCCCCGAGCGTGGCCGCGCCGTGCCAAAGCCCCGGCGTTGGCCGGGGCCGGCGCCCCGTGGGCGCCCTCAGCGCCCCCGCAGCGCCTCCACCCAGCGCCACGCCTGCAGCTCTGGCCCGCTGGGTGCTCGGAAGGCGCCGGGTGAGGGCTGGGCGCTGGCGCCAGGTCATGCCCCCTTAGAGCCAACACGTCGGAGCCACAACTGTCAACTGCCCTGCATCCTTGACTTCGGCCAGCGCGCTGCTTCTACCGTGAAACGTGTACCGTGAAACCTTTCGATATTATGCATACGCTATACAGACAGAGACAGACAGACAGACAGACAGGCAGACAGACAGGCAGGCAGGCAGGCAGACAAACAGACAGACTGGCAGGCAGACAGACAGACAGGCAAACAGACAGACAGACAGACAAACAGACAAACAGACAAACAGATGACACCCGCGTCCGTGCCCTGGGGCGGGAGGGAGGACGGCGGAGGGAGGAGGGCGGCAGGAGGAGCGGGGAGGAGGGCCTCGCTGCCGCGGGCGCGCTTGCTTGTCACGCGTTCCCCCTCTCCCACCCATCCCCGCGGAGAGGAGGAGGAGGAGGAGGAAGAGGAGGAGAAGGAGGAGGAGGAGAAGGGAGATGGGAGGGAGGGAAGAGGGGAGAGGGAGGAGGGAGATGGGAGGAAGGAGGAGGGAGGGAGGGAGGAAGAGGCGGGGAATGGATGAGGGAGGAGGGAACGCAGGGGCCGGGGGGAAGGGAGGGAGTGGCGGGCGGGAGGGAGGGAGGGGCAGGGGGGGTAGGGAGAGAGGGGCAGGGGGGGAGAGAGGGGCAGGGGGGGACGGAGGAGGAGGCAGGACGAGTAGAAAGCCGCATTGACGGAGGCTCTTTCTTGGGCCGCCCCAAGGGCCGGCGCCCTCCGAATCCTCGACCTGGCGCCGCGCAGAGCCGCGGGGGCCGCCCTCACTTCCAGCGCTCCTGGCGGGACCACGGGGAGGAGGACGCAGAGGAGAAGGACGAGGAGCAGGGGAAGGGGGGAAGCTGCGACTGCCTCCGCCCTCCCCGCGGAGGGCAGCTACCACTGCCTCCGCGGGCGGCGCCTCCGCTGGGTTTGGCGCTCCGACGACCGATGGCAGCGCCGCAAACGACGGAAGCGCCGGGGGCGCACCACGGCGGAGGCGGGGCCGCCGCGGCGGCGGGCGAGGCCGCCGAGCTGGCTGGCCCACCCGGGAGCTCCCCTGCGGCCCCCGCGCCCCCTCTGAGCCTCGCGACGGGGTGCTCCGGAGGCCACCCGTCCTGAGCCCCAAGACGCCAGGCCCCCCCGAGGTCGACGCTGGGCTCCCGCGCCCACGTCTCCCGGGTGGTGGTGGTGGTGGTGGTGGTGGTGGTGGTGGTGGTGGTGGTGGTGGTGGTGGTGGTGGTGGTGGTGGTGGTGGTGGCGGTGGTGGTGGTGGTGGCGGTGGTGGCGGTGGTGGTGGTGATGAGTGACCTTCCCCGTTGGCCTCTGGACCCCCCCCCCTCGTTTTGCCGGGTCCTCGAGGCCCTGCCCTTCCAGCCCCGTGTCTCCTTTCCTCCCTCATGGACGCTCGAAGTTGGCACTTATCCCAAACCGACAGCGGCCGCTGTTTGGCAGACGACCTGTTGTTTCTAGTGGACAACGTCCGCGGCGACGCCGACAGCGCGTTCTGCTGTCGGCGGCGAGCTCGGTAGTGTAAGGGGGCAAGGCTTAAAGATCAGACGGCCTCTGGCCTTCTGAGAAGACTTCTTTTCACCTTGAAAGATCGGCGGCTTTCCGATCGCCAGGTCGTTCCGTGTTGGCTGATTCTGGGCCGCTGGCGGCGTTCAACCTTGAATGCCAGCGGCGGAGTCGACGCCGCGTCGACACGACGCGAACCTGCCATACCCAGTTCGATCGTGCTGATCCCCAGCGCGCAAAATGGCGCGCCAAGGGCTCCAGCGCAGATCCGAGAGATCCTTGCGGACCTCCGCAAGTTTATGCATGTGCCGAAGTCGGGCGGGGGCATGGGGGGTGAGCGCAGCAGCGGCCAAGGGCAGGTATGGGGGAGGAACAACAAGCCTTCCACATGGGGCCCAAGTAGACGTGGTCGGAGGATCGCGCCGAATCGCCGATGCACCGTCGATACATCGAGGATGCACGGCGATGACTCAGTGACGTCGGAGATGCAACAGCGCCGACGGCGTGGACCGATACTAGCAGAATAATAACAGACATAGACATATAATGTCGGAGCTCCGACAGGACTCTTTGGATTGCTGCTGGACCAGCGCGCGTCAGGGGCGGCGCCAGAGGTGCCGCCAGGGGGGACCCAGCGCCAATGCAGGAAATCCGCGCGAAGCTCCGAAAATTCATGTTTATGCAGATGTTTTTCGAGATCCCGCTGCGCTCCAAAGACCTTTCCCCGGGTGCGTTCCGGCCAGAAATTCAACGAGAATCGGCCGTGGCGACAGTCATTCTCCTCAAGCCAAATCGGTACGTGACGGCCCCCCTGGGGCCGAAAGTGGGGAAAAACGCCTGGCGTGAAGAAAACTGCGATGCCTGGGTCTCAAAGGTTCTCCAGGAGGAGCATCGGCATCGGCAGGAGCGGGGCCCCAGAGGTCGCGACAGCTTCCCCACGGGTGATTGTGTCTCGACGGCACGAGAGCAAGGAGTGATACTGCGTTTTCTCAAGTGCGTCATGGCTACCGCGTCTGGGATGATGCGATGATGCACTCCACCCCGCGGAAAGCACCGCGGCCCTTCGTGCGGCATGCAACACAAACAGGATAAGTACAGAACTGCTCGTCGCTGCAACGGACATCGCATCATGCCTTCAGGCCGTTCGCTGCTACGGTGCTGCTCTCTTGGGCAGTCAAGCGTACACGTGTGAGAGGGTCCTCACCAGCTGGCGATACTAGGGCCCCTCCCTCATCTGGAGGCTACCCTCGCTGGGTGACGCTTACGTGCAGTTCCGCGCTGGGGCGAAACAAACAATAGATCAGCCTGCTTGCAATCAGACGTAAGCAAGAAGCGAGAGAGGTTGGGGAGGTAGACTTTTCGCGGCTCAGCCGTCTCGGAACACCCCGCGGCCCGACAACGGCACCCGAAGGGCCGACACCCTGGAGGGAGGGGAGGAGCGTGGCGGCTGTGGCCCTTGGGTCAGGTAGGGCCTGTCCCCCTACAGGGGAATCTTAGAGAAAAAATTCAAGGCACTAGAAAAATACTCCAAAGTGGCCAAAAATGATCCAAACATCGTCCCCTGACGACTTTTCCACTATCTTTGAGAATTCCCCCTGTGGAGGGAGACAGGCCCGACTTAGCCCCCTGGGCGCAGCAGCGCGTCCTGCAGAGTCCTCCGCTTGGCAAACAGCGACGAGAGGGTCAGCCCGGTCACCACGCAGCCGACCTGCCGGTCCGGGGGCGCCGACCTGCCGCTGCTCCGCTCCTCCTCGCAGGACGGCTTTC